AAGACTTGACAGACCCTAACAGAAGGCAGCAGAAGGGTCCTGGCAGACGTAACTGTCTTCGAGCCTCTGGCAAGGTCGTCTAGGCCAATGAGTGAGGTCTTTCAGACCGTAATACTGTACTTTCCCAGTGTGCTAGATTAATCTTAATCCCATTGCTGGAGAGATAGAGACCCTTGGCAAACAAAGCCTAGTGTCTCAGGATATGGGGTTTAGATTGACTGGTGTGACCCTGGAATCTATCAATTTTTCCTATTTTTAGATTCTTCTGGGTACTGTCTAGATGTCTTAGGTGCCACTATCAGAAGCGCTTCGAGATGATCCTAGATCCGGGGGCCTGTCTGCTCTGTTGGCTGATTCTAGCCGTCCTAGATTAGCTGATAGTCTCCGGAATGTCTGCATTCTTGGCACCAGCAGTTCTAGATAATCCCAGGTTATCTAGATAGGTCTGGAATCTAGACGAATCTAGGTCATACCGAATGAGGGGTCTTCTAGATGTCTCTGCGCCGTTGGCTGATTTCAGCTAGCCTAGATTACCTAAAGATCTTTAGAATGTCTAGATTCTTGGTACCTAGATCCTTCAGAATCTGCTCCAGGGTCCAGAGGCGTTTTTGATGACTCTAGACGGTCCAGGGCCTAGATCCACCTAGATCCTTCAGATCCTTCAGATCCTTCAGATTATGATCGATGGGGATTTAGACGTTTCAGACGATTCCAAGGCCCTCTCCATAGCTCTGCTTCCCTTCATCTATCTATTTAGTCTCTTCTGAATGATCTAGAAAACCGCTATCCAGATGGTTCGGGGGGTCATTGTTCCTCCTTTCACACTGTGTTCGAGTCCTCCTCCTCCCCCCCCCCTCCTCATCCATCCTTTAACCATTCATCTGTCCCTTCTATTCCAACCAACCAACCAGCACACCCTCACCCAACGTCTTTCTTTACTTCCCACCCTCCCCACACGACCCCCCCCTTGCCCTTGTCTCTGCGTCTCTTGATTTCCAACACAGTCTCTAGGCTTTGGAACTTACCACTACTACACGGAATGCCCTTTCCTACTTTCTTCTTTCTACAACACCACATGGCCTTCCAGCCCCTGCAGGCTGGCCCCCAAAATGTATGAAATTGACCTGAAAAAAGTGTCCTTTTCCTCTTTTTTTTTGCTTTATTTTTCTTACTTTCCTGATTTTGGTTACTGTATTTTTCCATTTTTCTAATTCTACGCTTTTATAATCTTTAAAATTCCAGAAAAATCGAGAAAAAACGAGCAATTTTGAAGCGTTTCGATTTTTCCTGAGGCTTAGAAGATTTTTGTAGTTTGTAGTCTCTAAGCATCAGGAAAGCCGAATTTTGCGTTTTTTTGCATTCTTTTTTTCTGAAAATTGCCTTTTTTTTGTTTTTCGAGTCTTCATGTTTATACTCAAGTGTTTATTGATTACTCAGGCTTAGAGACTACAAACTACAAAAGTTTCTAAGCCTCAGTAAAATCCCTAAAAACCGTTTTTCGTCACTTTCAGCTTGAATTTTTTCCCAATTTTTAGACTCGTTTGTAGTTTGTAGTTTTGTGATTTTCTCTAACTAAAATCCTTGAACGATTCAAAACAGCTACAAACTACAAAAGTTAATAAGCCTCAGTAAAAACGTTTTTTTACCGAAATTTCAGCGAAAATTCTCTCTTTTTTTTGGTTTTTTTTCTATTTTTTAGCTTTTCTGGACCTAGATTTTCCTTATTAAACTCTAGTGGGTGCTATTTAACATTCTGATTTCTTCGAAAAACTTTTTTCCCTAGAATTTCCATTTTTTGCATATTCCTGAATTCTCAGATTTCATTAGAAACTTCTAGAGTCTTCAATTTTTCCAATTTTCAATCATTTTTTGAAATTACCTTTTCCGAGTTTCTTTTTCTCTATTGTTGCTAGAAATTCCATTTTTAGGATCTCCTAAACTAGACTTTCCAACTTTTCACGATTCTTAGACATTTTCGAGCATTCGTCTTGAGCCTAGGAGACCACCAGACATCCAATTCATAGATTTCTCTCTCAATTTCCCCATTAGAGACGGTTGCCAACGGAGCCAACGGAGCCCCGCTGACACGGGAAATGTGAAAGTTATGGCCTTGAAAATGAGAGAAGCCCCCCAGACGACCCTCTCTGACAGGTCAGCAGAAGAAGAAGAAGAAGCACATCTGCTTCTTCTCCATTCTTCCCTCCGATCGGGGCCCCCTTCGGAAGAGGACGCGGCTCCTAGTGTCCCCCCTAACAACCCCCCTCCTAGCGATTTGCATTTGAATATATTGGCGGAGAAAGAGGACAGGCGGTCCCCGTTGTTTTTTTTTGAATAGATGGATCCTCGCTCATCAATTCACACACTATTTCCCGCTGGTCAGCAGAAGCTAGTTTGAGAAGGAAGAGAAACCCATTGGAGACAGCTCAACGGCTGTTCGGAGGGCCCGGGGAATGGTAGAAGAAGTTGGGAGATGGAGATTAGGGAAACCACCCATTTGCTCGGGATTTTAGTCTAGCAGAGACTAAAAGAGCCTAAATGAGCCGATTCTAATTGAAGTTCCGGTTGGAACACCTTGAAATTGGGATTTTTTGATTGAGCGAATTATTCCGATCGATTTTTGTAAATTTGGGTTGCGGTCTTTAGTTTTCTGACGGTCAAATTTGGAAGATTTTGATTTCCAAAAAATACTGTATCGATTGATATAGGATTCGTTAGGATTGGATCACTAGAAGCTAGGATATGAGTCGTGAAACTTAAAATGTTAGCCGCCAAACTTGACGTTTCCTTGGTTTCCTCCTATTGAGAGCCTAGAAGCTAACTTTCTTCTATTTTCTGTCAAACCTGTAATAAAAGGGCTCCCTAACTTTGAGCCGATTCATCTCAGTTTCTGTCAAAGATATCAAAAAGTTGTCATTTTATTAGTTTACATATTTTTGATATTATGCATAGGAAGCGAGATAATTGAGCTTAAACCTGAGATAATTAGCCAAGATTCCTGACAATCCGATTTACTTAAAATTTCGAAATCCCTCTTCTTAATTTCGAGGACACACTCACATTTCTAGATCTCTTCCTCTACTTTTTCAACATTTTCCGTGTCACTCGCTAACTGCTAAAATGTATGGTTGGGGTGTCTAAAAGTAGAGGGGGGACACCTTGAAGGTCACTCGGAAAAAAACCGGGGGCGAAATGGGCAGAGAGTGTCGGTGGGCGCCGGGCACCGATGTCCGTCAAGTCAGTCACCGGTCCTCTAAATCTACCATGTGTGTGTGTGTGTTAGTGACGGACGGATTCGATGGTTTCCTGTCTCTCCTTGAATTCAGCGTCGTCGCCCCGCCGAATTGCAGAGAAGTGTGTGTGTGTGTCTGTTTTTTCGGTGAATCGGCTGACCCTGAACACCCCCTCTCTCGCTTGAAACACAGAAATAGAAGCAAACTTTTCTAGTCGACTGTACGCCTTCTAAGGTTTTTGAGCACCAAAAATTTCAATTTTCTGGCTTTTAGCCCTGTTTTCAAATTTCCGCTCAAAATAGCGCACTTTTTCTGAATAATTCAAATTTGCTGGCCTATTCCGTCTTTCCGATTTCCGTTATCCCTGTCGGCGAGAAAAGGGAAGAAATTCCCAACAATTCTAGCCAAAAACGGTTGAAAAAGCTCCACTTTAAGCCAAGTTATGACGCCGCGACGTTTTACTGAGGCTTAGCAGCTTCAAACTATAATAGAACTCTAAGCCTCAGTAAAACTTCAACGCGCTTTAACTCGGCTAATTTTCAACCGATTTTTGTCATTTTTTTTACAGAAATTCTCCAAAATTCTCATAAAATCGAATAAATAGGTTGCTAGACATTTTTTTAAACAAAAAATGACCCAAAATGAGCCAAATCACAGTCTGCCGAAGTATTACTGAGACTTGGACATTTTTGTAGTTTGTAGTCTTGTTTTCCATTTTCAATTGAGCTAGAAACCATCAAAAACGGATAACAATGAGCCGAGTTTTGACTCTTTGAATTTTTTACTGAGGCTTACACTACAGACTACAAGTAGTTCTAAGCCTCAGTAAAAATTCAACGCGTCGCTGTAACTTGGCTTGTTTTCAACCGTTTTTGATGGTTTTTTGGCCAATTTTTCTCTTTTTTCGACATATTTTATTGTTTTTTCCGATGTAAATCAGGAAAAATTCATTAAAATGTTTAAAAACATTGAAAAAACGTTGAAAATTGTCGAAAATTTGATAAAATAGGCTCAAAGAGCTCTTGCGCCTTTAAGCACTCAAAATTACTTTTTTTTTCTCAAAAATTCCAATTTCCGACATTTCTGACCTAGTTTTTCTTCTTGGCTCGAAAACGTCGGGCCTATCTTGAAGGGACAGATGTTTCTAATTCATTCTCTCTCGATCGTAGGGGAACCCCATAATCAATTCTGTCGTTTCAGAGGCGAAGAGGTACTTGACCTTGTATGGGGGGAGGCGAGAAATTGGGTCTTTGTATATTATTCGGGAGGTTTTTAGCCAGAAAATTTGAATTTCTCGAAATTTCAGTTTTGGCGGGAAACGGAAAATTCGGTGAAAAAAAAACGTTTTTTTTGCAAACTTTTCGAAAACTTCAGTTTCCCGCCAAAACTGAAATTTCTGGAAAATTTCCTATTTTAGCAAATTTTCGACTTTTCATCATTTCAATGCATTTTTCCCAAAAAAAATAGGCCAAAAAAACAAACTACAAAATTTCCTAAGCCTCAGTAAAAATGAAAATCGCTCTAACTCGGCTCATTTTCACTCGTTTTCAATGATTTCTAGCTCGAAATTTTGCTCTGAAATGTTTTTTTTTCTCTGAATTTCCAGGAATTTTTGGATTTTTCCAGTTATTTTCCACCCATTTTTCCTTCTTTTTGATCTCAAAAAATCCACGTTTCCTCTGTCTTTTTCAGCCACCGTTTCTTTGCTGTAACGAAATTTCTAATTTTTATCATTTTCAGCTATTCATTAGACTAGATTACCATCCAACAATGGGAGCGGAAACGACGCCCGAACAGCGTGTTAGCGAGGATTTGATGCAGGCGGTGACGTGTCTGAAGCGTGTGATGAACGGAATGAAGCACGGAAACGAGGTGCCAGAAGAGGAGAAGCAACAGGTGAGAAATTACAAAAAATTCCAGAAAAAATGAAGAAAAACGAGCGATTTTGAGCTATTCTACGGTGAAAATGGTTTTTACTGAGGCTTAGACTACGAACTACAAAATTCTCTAAGCCTCAGTAAAATCCATTTTCAACCGTTTTTCGTCATTTCTCGCTCAAAATTTTTTGTAGTTTGTAGTTTTGTAATTTTTTGTGAAACATGTAGACTTGTTTTTCCAGAAAAATGAACAAAAATGAGCCATTTTACGATGAAAATAGATTTTACTGAGGCCTAGACTACAAACTACAAAATTCTCTAAGCCTCAGTAAAAATCCAAAAAGGTTGTAACTCGGCTCATTTTCAACCGTTTTTCGTCATTTTTCGCTTGAAATGTTTCTGAATGTTTCGATTTTTGTAGTTTGTAGTGTTTTCAGAATCCCACCGACGTCATCTGCACACTGGAGAAGCTCACCGGCGCCCTAGAGAGATGTATGGAGAATAATAAGACGTTAAACGATGTGCTCAGCGGGAAAATGGTAAGGAAATTCGAATTTTGCAAATGCGCTCTATTGAACAAAATATTGAACATTCGATTTTTTTTCGCTTTTTAAACGCGCTCCATTGAAAAATTTGCAAAAAAAAAAATTAAAATTCGCTAGAGCGCACGACACCCCTTGCAATTAGGACTGCGCACACAATTGGATTACGTCCCTTCCCCTCTATTAACGTCCCATTAATTCTAGAAATGTACAACATGTGGCTCAACATCTGTCGGTTTTCTTGCCGATTGTCACGACAGTGCCACGTCAACAACCACAACAACGTCACATCGATCATCCGAAGAGCCAATGCCACGTCGAAAGAATTCAGAAGACATGGATGACGTCGACGACGGTTGCTCATCGTTAGGCTCCAGAAGTATCAGATCGGTGTCGAGTCAGGAGGACGATGAGACGACGTTGGTAGCGGATATGATCAAAGAGGGCGGAGCTTCGAAAACTGTGGAGGAAGAAGAAGAGGAGCATGATTTGGTGATGAAAACGATTCTATCAACGACGACATCCACGTCATCGACGACAGAGATTCAGAAAGAAGACGTGCGGAAAGACGCGGAAATTCCGATGACAACCGATTGCAATAACACGGCACTTTTCGATCAATTCCTTCAGAATTCGCTATTAGGACTTCCGGATATGAAGGCGATGATTGATATGCCGCCCACGGTTTCCGATGAAAATAATGAGGATGAGAATCAGGAATCGAACGCATTGCTCAGCAACTTTTTCCAGGTTTGTATTCTAGAAAAAATTCCAGAAAAAGCGAAGAAAAATGAGCCATTTTGAGCCATTTGAAGCGCGACGAATTTTAAGCAAAAATTCCACGTATTTTGAGCTAAAAACAATCGAAAACGGATAAAAATGTGCCTAGTTGCAGCATTTTGATTTTTTACTGAGGCTTGGGAAATTGTGTAGTTTGTAGTCACATTTTCATAAGCGGCGAATTCCACGTATTTTGAGCTAAAAATCATTGAGAACGGATGCAAATGAACCGAGTTACAGCGTTTTCAATTTTTACTGAGGCTTCAGCTACAAACTACAAATATTCTAAGCCTCAGCAAAAACTGAAAACGCTGTAACTCGGTTCATTTTCAATCGATTTGTTCGATTTTTAGCTCAAAATATGTAGAATTTTTCTGCTTTTTTAGATGTGACTACAAACTACAAAACTTGCTAAGCCTCAGTAAAAACTTTGAAATGCTATAATTCGGCTAATTTTTCTCGGTTTTCTGCCATTTTTCTACAAAAATGATTGAAATTTATTTTAAATATAAATTTATAATCAGAATGTTTATCCGAAATTGAATTCCTGTATTTCTGAATTATTGAAAATTCTGAAAATTTAGAAAAATCTGAAAATTATGAAAAAATTTTCCAGATTTTGATTTTTCAAATATCCCGGAAACCTGAAATATTGAAATCTAGGATTCTATAACTACAAACTATAAAATAAAACTAAAAAATTTTAATAAAATTTCATTTTTTTTTTGCAAAAGTTTCGATTTTCAGATCCTCTTCGCCAATAATCAAAACAGTGTGGCTGGAATGGAAGGAGGATCGAGTGAAACGGATTCCACGTCATCCCAACCGTCTCCACCGGCTGATCTTTCACAAATGGACCCGTCACAATTCGATACGTTAGCAATGTTGGAATCTCTAATGGCCGAATCCTTGAATCCCGCAGATGCCACGACATCAGCTGAAAATAAGGCGAAAAAGCGAAAAAACACACCAATCAAGGTGCCGAAATCTGAAAATGGCGGATACGTGTGTCCGATGGAAGGATGTAATAAGATATTCAAAGAGAAAGGATCCGTTCATCGTCATTTCGTCACGCACATCGGAATGCGATTCAATGTAAGTGCGCTCCATTGAGAAGGCTTCCCCGAGAAGCGAACGAAAAAAAAAGCAGAAAAAAATAACGAATTTTTAGTCAAAAATCGCTGAAAAGCGACGGAAAATAGTCGACTTACAGCGTTTCGAAGTTTTTACTGAGGCTTAGCGAGTTTTGTAGTTTGTAGTGAGTTAGCCTCAGTAAACTTGTTTGTCGGCATACTTAAGCTAAAGAGCTACAAACTACAAGTTCCTGTAATTCAATTTGGCTCGTTTTCATTCGTTCTTAGGCATTTTTTGCTGACAACAAACTACAATTTTCGCTAAGCCTCAGTGAAAATTCGATTTCGCCGAGAAACATTATTTTCAACCGTTTATCTTCGATTTTTTTTCTATATCAAAAACTACAAAAACTACAAAAACTACACCAACTACAAACTATACTTTTTCAGTGCGACAAATGCAAGGCTTCGTACACTCAAAAGCACGCCCTGATGCTTCATCAGAAGATCCACCTGAATCCGGACGCCTATCAGTGCCGCGGATGTGGTACCAACTATACCACACAAAATGGACTCAGATTGCATAGACAGGTGAGCAATATGGAGACACTACAAACTACAAAAATTATTTTCATGGAAAAACGAAATTTCGAAAAAAAATTCCAAAAAAAAAACATTTTTTTTTGGATTTTTTTTTCGTAAATTCTCATTGGAGAGCATTTAAACATTTTTGATGTCTTTTTTCTCGAAAAACGCTCTAAATATTTGAAAAAAACAATTTTGAACAAAATAAGATTAGAGCGCATTTTCCGACTATATATTTATAAAATGCTTATAAATCTCGATGTATTGAACCGATTTTTATGAAAATTGAACAGATCGATTGGAAATTAAAATTAGATTATACTAAAGTTGTGGAATTTGAAAAAAAAATCGAGAAAAAATCGAAATTTTGAGCGAAAAATGACGAAAAACGGTTGAAAATTGATTTTACTGAGGCTTAGAACTTTTTGTAGTTTGTAGTGTAAGCCTCAGTAAAAACCATTTCCACCGAAAAATGGCTCAAAAAATTATTCATCCGCGACGAAAAACTAAAAGACTACAAACTACACAAAATTCCAAAAAATTTGAACATTTCAAGCCAAAAATGACGAAAAATGGTTGAAAATGAAGAGTTTAGGAATTTTAGTGAGGCTCAGGATCATTTTGTAGTTTGTAGTCTAAGGCTCAGTGAAATGTTCAAAACGCTATAACGCTATAACTCGGCTCAGTTTCATCTGTGTTCAATGGTTTTTAGCTCAAAATGCGTGGAATTTCCCTGAAGTTTTTTTAAATGTGACTACAAACTACAAAAAGTCCTAAGCTTCAGTAAAACTCGATTTCGGCGCAAAACGACTTAAAATTGCTCGATTTTCTCAATTTTTTCTGGAATTTTCTGGAAAAAAACGCGTTTTTCAAAAATAATCCTCATTAGAGCGTATTTTCTGACTATTGAAATTCAATTTTTGCAGAGAAATCCGGCATGCATGGAGCACAACACCAGCGCCACGATGTCCGACTTCAACTCATCGCTAAACGACGTTCTGTCGCTCGCCACAGCACAGTCGACACCAACGAAACAGATGGTCATGGCAGCTCCATAAACTCATTTTCTAGACCTCAATTGTTTTTTTTTTCATTGAAATTCACCCCAAAAAAGAAGAAATTTGTCTCAAAAATTCGATACGCGTGCAATTATCATCTCTCTCTCTCTCCGTCTCTCTCACTATGTTCTTTTTTTTCTCGTTATAATAATTATTTTCTCAATTTAATAATTACAGATTTCTTTGAAAATTTTTGAGCTAAGAAAAAATTTTTGAAATATTTTTTTCACCTCAAAAATTGAGAATTTCCAACTGATAAGTTTTATTATCAGCTTTTCCTGTCCCCTGTCTTTGTGTGTTATCCTTTTCCTATCCCCTTCCCTTCTCTTTTTTTTCGTTAAATTTGAATTTTTCAAATTTCCCGCTCAACCTGATTAACTAACTTTATTATTATTTGATTGTTTTATATTACGCAAATTCACCCATCCCATTCTCTCCTCAATTTTATTGCATTTTGTTTCTATGAATCCATTTGTTTTTTGCTGAAAATTCAAAAAATTTAGCAATAGAGCGCATTTTCTTCACAACCTCATAATACAAAAATTTGCATTTTCTCCCCCTCTCATATGTCATAATAAGTTTTTTCACCTGTTTTCTCACCTTCTTAATTACATGTTCCTATGTATCGACGTATTTTTTATGGCAATAATTGATTTTTTTCCTTTCTCTCCCCCCCCCCCTGAAAAACCATTTTTCTGGTTTTGGTGCTTGATGTATGCCTTTAATTGAAAAGCAAATAAAATACTTGTATTCCTGACTGAATTTTGTGTTTTTTTGCTAAAAGTGGGGAAAAGAGCTGAAAAAATCCCGGAAAATAAATAATTTTTCAAGTTTCTTCCTTCAAAATTGAAATTCCCGCCGGAAACGAGAAACGCGCCAGCTCACTCACCAAAACTGCGCAAACGAAAAAAACTGGCGCGTTTTTCGTGTCGAGCCAATCAGATTTGTCCCAATGTTTCCCTATTGATTTTCGCCGGATTTTCTACCAATCTCCTTGTTTTTTCTTATGAAAATTGAACATTTAACCTAATTTCTATCTCAGAATGGACGCTGGCTACTTCCGCGGCGCCAGCTCAGAGCAGGATGGCCGATTTTCGGATAAAGAAAAAAAGTTGTTGAAAACAATGAAATTCGAGCAGCAGCTAGAGAAAAAGGTAGGAAATATAGATAAAAATGAGGTCTAGTAGCGATTTTTCACCTGAAAAACCGAAAAAAGTTTTTTTTTTGGAAAAAAGTTTTTGAAAAAATAGAAAAAATTTCTAATCTGGAATATTAAAGGTTTGATGGCTCTTCTCTCATATTTTCCTTCAAGATCGACCTGACCCGCATCAATATGGACGTCATCAAGCCGTGGATCACCGCTCGTGTGAATGAGATACTGGGAATCGAGGATGACGTTGTCGTGGAGTATATTCTATCGCAGTTGGATGAGAAGGATATTAATCCTAAGTTGTTGCAGGTAAGAAACTTTTCAATAAAACGAAGAAAAAAAATTGATTTTTTTGCAATTTTTAGCGATTTTCAACTCTAAACCTTCCAGATAAACGTCACCGGCTTCCTCAACGCACGCCGCGCTCGTGAATTCGTCGGCGAGCTCTGGAGTCTGCTCATCGAGGCCAACGAATCGGAAGATGGGATTCCAGCGTCGCTAGTCAACAAAAAGATGGCCGAAATGAAGACCAGCGATGATAGAGACAGTAAAGAAGGTGTAAAGGAGGATAACGACTGGACGAATCGCTATAAGACACTTAGCAACGGCAGATATACAGGACCAGCCAGAGAGAAGCAGGTCAGAGACGATAGAATCCCAGCGAGAGCGTTGAGTCCACGAAAGACGCCGCCACGAAGGAATATGAGTCCCGAAGGAGGACGTAGGGGTTCTCCAGGCTCTCCAAGAAGACGTGGATCTCCGAGAAGGTCTCCTAGACGAGATGACAGACGTAGAAGTCCACCTAGAAGACGTTCCCGATCGCCACGTGGCGGTGATCGTAGTAGACCGGCTCGTGATGAGAAAGAGAGGGAAGAGGAGTCGAAACGACGAGAAATCGAGAGAAAAAAGCGTCATGAAGAGGCAGAGCTACGTCGGAAAGCCATCGCTTCGCAGGCTAGACGCTCTAAAAGCCCACGTGGATCTCCTAGAAGACGTTCCCCACGTGGCAGATCTCCAGAAGCTAGAAGACGTCAATCTGGATCGCCTCCACGTGGAGCTAGAAAAGGATCTCCGGAAGCTAAAAAACCTGGACGCTCGCCGTCTGGGTCGCCACGTGGACCGAGAAAGCTTTCTGGAAGTCCCAGAAGACGTGCAGCGTCTCCAGAAGCCAGAAAACCTAGACGATCCCCGTCTGGAAGCCCTAAAAGACGCCAAGCGTTTCCAGCAGCCAGAAGACCTCCATCTGGATCGCCTCCACGTAGAAGATCTCCTCCAGCAGCTAGCAAATTCGGCCGTTCTCCACCAGAATCCCCTAGAAGACGTCGTTCTGGTTCGCCAGCGGCCCGCAAACCTGGACGCTCTCCATCTGGATCGCCACGTGGGGCTAGAAAAGGTCGGTCGCCTTCCGGATCACCTGGACGACGTCAGAAGTCTCCAGAAGTCGTCAGAAAACGCCCACCACCCCCACCGGCCAGAAGACGTTCTCCATCGTCGTCTCCAGATGCACGAAAGCCTAGAGGGCGTTCTCCAGCTCGACGTGGACGTTCGCCTTCTGAATCACCTAGAAGAACTAGAAAATCGTCATCCAGAAGCCCCAGAAAATTCGCAGAAAAGAAGAGTAGCCCGGTGCTTCCGGCTCAATATCGTCGTCGGAGCGGTTCTTCGTCTCCAGATGCCAAACGACGTCGTCCAAACGATAATTCCGATGACTCGACGGATTCAGAAGCAGAGGAACGTCGTCGGAAGAGAGCGAAGAAGGAGAGGAAGGCGAGAAAGCATAAGAAGGTGAATATTTGAACTTCGCATTGAAATGTGTAGAAAACGATGTAGATTCGAATAGAAACAGAGAAAAAATCAGAAAAAATCCACACAATTTTGAAAAATCACTCTGTAAAATAAGTGATTTTATTCGAATTTTATTTTAATTTTTTGAATTTTTAAAAGGTTTGAATTTCGTTAAAATTCATTTTTATGTTAAAAATTCAATTTCTAGCAGTCGGAAAATTGAATTTCAGTTCTTTTTTTTTGACTTCAAATTGTCGATTTTTGAGTTTTTTGTTTTGAGTTTTCAGGTCATTTTTCATCTGGAAAACCGATTTTTCACTTTTAAAAATTCCAATTTTTTAAGGATTTTCAACGATTTTTCCCAAAATTTTTAGACCTTTTTCCGAAAAACTTGCGAAATCTCTAAAAAATTTTTTGAATTCCCGCCAAAACTGAAAATTCCGAAAAATTCGCGATTTTTCGAGAGTTTTTAGACCTTTTTCGGGTTTTCAGCTATTTTTGAATATTCTTTTTCGATTTTTCCCATTTTTGTCTGAAATTTGATTGGACGGTGTTTGTGAAGATTACTGTAGATTACTGTAGAAGCTAATTTCCTTTTGTGGTTCTTTTTTGCCACGTCAAAATGTATATAAACACTGTTTAAAACACTACAAAAGGAGTTTCTACAGTAATCTTCGCGAACACCATCCCGTCAAATTTCAGACAAAAAATTATGAAAAATTCGAAAAAGAATGCTCAAAAATAGCTAAAAACCCTGAAAAGGTCTAAAAATTAAGCCGAAAAATCGTGGGAAATCCCTTCAAAAATGATTTTCTAGATGAAAAATGACCCAGAAATATCGAAAAAATGAACCTCGAAAATCGACATTTTGCAGTCAAAAAAGAGCTAAAAATGAGCTGAAAATCAATTTTCAGACTGCAAAACTTCAATTTTTATCTAAAAAAGGATTTTTAGCTGTTTTGAGCCAATTTTTTCAAAAAAAACAAACCGGGAAAAATCAAAAAAGGATCTTCAAAAATTTGATGAAAAATCGGATAAAAAATGATTTTTTCTCTCGAAAAATTTCTCATTTTTCAGAGGTTTTTTCAGAGTTTTGGCGATTTTTCAATTTTTCATCTTGTTTCTATACGAATCTACATTATTTTCTGCATATTTCGTTGTATAATTCCTTAGAAAAAGCTCATTTTTCGAAAATTCCAGGAGAAGAAATCCAAGAAGCATCGTAGACGTCATGCAAGCTCCACGTCGGGCTCCGGAAGCGATTGAAAATCTGAAAATTCCGAAAATTCGATTTTTATTTTATTTAATATTTATTCTTCCTTCTTCCATCCCTCATTTATTCGATTAAAAAATGGTCTCCTGTCCCTTTAAAATCACTCTTTTCCCCCGAATTTAATGTTTTTTCCCCTCTCTCTAACTTTAAATTTTCCTAGTAAATATGGTTTTTTTCACTGCCGAAATCGCTCTTTTTTCCTTTTTTTTTCAATTTTCCGCCTTTAAAATGGCCTAGAAATACCTGAAAAACCATAGGCCACGCCCCCTTGCCACGTGGAACGATATTCCAGGTGTATGGGAGACGTGACTACGACGACGTCGACGACTATAAGCCAACCGTCCACACTGTCGGGACACGCTTTGGTCACCTTGGATAAGATCGATACGAGCAATACGGCTGGTTTTGTGAAGACTGGTCCGTGTAGAAAATAGACTACAAACTACAAATAATTCCACGAATTTTTAGCCAAAAATCGGTCGAAATTATGGGAAATGAGCCGATTTACAACGTTTTGAATATTCTTACTGAGGCTTAGGAATTTGTGTAGTTTGTAGTGTAGGCCTCAGTAAACGTAGTACCGCTGTTACTGAGGCTAAGACTACAAACTACACAATTTTTCTAAGCCTCAGTAAATTTTGTCAAAATTGAATTTTGCAGTTGAATCGGTCGAAATTTCGAAAAATCTCAACTTTCTGGAATTTTGGAATTTCAGAGTGTTGGAATTTTAAGGCCCAAAATGTTTTGTAGTTTGTAGTCGCGTTTCAAAAAACAGCAAATTTCACGCATTTTGAGCTGAAAATCTAGAAAAACGATTGAAAATGAGCCAAATTTCAGCTATTTTAAGTTTTACTGAGGCTTAGAACTCCTTGTAGTTTGTAGTCTCTTAGCCTCAGTAAAAACTTCTTGACGTCGTCCTTTGGTCAATTCTTGCCTGTTTTTTAAATTTTTTTCTTGTCTAGAAATGCTAGAATCTCCCGTGTTTCAGCCTAAAATTTGCAAAAAAAAAACCCAAAAACTGATTTTTACCATACTTGTAACGGGCCGGGCCGGGCTTTTTCCGGAATTTCGGAGGCCCGGCCCGGCCCGGGCCCGTCATTTCACTAGTTTAGAAATTTTCAAAAAACACATAAGGGGGGACCCTTATGTGATTTTTTTCGACCAAAAAATTTTTTTTCGAGTTTTTCGATCTTTTTTGATCAGACAGACAAACAATCCGAAATACGAAAAAAAAATGGAAAAAATTATATTGAGAGCTCAAAATTTGGCTCAAAAATACAGAATTTTTGACACCGGGCCTTCCGGGCCGGGTCCGGGCTTTGGCGGGCCGGCCCGGAATTTTACAAGTATGATTTTTACCAAAAACTGGAATTTCGTACTACAAAATTGAGCTGTAATTCAAGAATTTGATCGGAAAAACTAGTAAATTCTGGAAATCAGGTGACAGTGAAAACTGAAATTCGATAAAACTTAAAAATATTAAAAATTCCCAAAATTTCTAGCTAAGAATGGCTTTTCTAGCTTAAAAATTAGTCAAGTCTCAGCGGTTTTTTAATTTTTGTAGTTTGTAGTCTAAGCCTCAGTAAAACTTCGAAGCGCTGTAACTCACTTCATTTCCCACCGTTTTCACTGGTTTTTGGGTCTAAATTTGCTTTTAAAAGGTTTTACACAAAACTACAAACTACAAAAATTCCTAAGCCTCAGTAAAAACTTTATGAAAAACGGAATTTTTGCAGTAATCGGTGGAACATCGCTCGCCACACTTCTTCTGGGTATTCGAAGTGCCTGGAAGCACTCAAGACAGCCAGAAGCCGCTGATTTAGCCGCTGCTCAGGTTATTATTTTGAAATGTATAGAACAATTCAAAAATACAGAATTTTTCAAAAATTCCAAAAAAATTGAATTCTCAGAAAAATACGGTTTTTCTGGCATTTTTCACTGATAATGGGACATTTTTTGACAATCTTTTTTTTCTTTTTTGAAATTTCAGATTTCTCTGACTTTTCTAGAATTTCTGAAATCTCTGAAAACACTGAAAATGCTAGATTCTCTGAAAAAATGACTTCTAAAGAATCCCAAAAATTGCAGCTCTTCTCCGGAGCTGCATTCGCTGGAAAGGCGCTCGGCGTGGCTACAGTAATCACCGTATCCGGATTCACATTGCTCATCGTTGGGGTGTCTGCACTGCTCCAAGTGAACACTCCTCGCCAGTTTGGCGCTGCGATGAAAACGGCGTTTGGCGATTCGATTCGATTGCCACAGAGCGCAAATTCACAGACATTTGAGGAGTTTATTAAAAGTATCGAAACGAAGACGGGTGTCACTGAAGAGGAGCAGAAAAACGGGGGGAAATTGTCAGAAAATTGAAGAAAATCAGGTAAAAATTGGCTCAATTGGTTGTGGTTTGTCAAAATTACATCTTGAAAAGGTGTATATTTTTAAAAGAAAATCTAATAAATCCGACCAAAATTTATAGTTTTATCTGTATTTTTAATTAATTATTGTGTAGAAAAATATATAAATTGAAATAACAACAAAGAAACGATTCCAAAAAACTCCGCAAAGCTTCGAAAATTGGCTTCAAAGAGTGAAAAATTCGAATTCCTGCGAAATTTGAAAAATTCGCTTTTTTCTGGCGAAAACTTGATTTTTTCTTCGCTTTTTCGCGAAATTTTCAGGCCTTTCCAGGTGTTTCAGCTATTTTGGAAGATTCTTTTTCGATTTTTCTGAATTTTTTTGTCTGAAATTTGATGTTACGGTGTTTGGGATTACTGTAGATTACTGTAGAAACTAATTTCCTTTTGTAGTTTGTAGTGTTTTCTTACAAACACTATCGCGTCGAAATGCAGACAAAATTCGGGTTTTCTACAGTAATCTACCGTAATCTCCCTGCCACAAACCTCGTTCCATCAAATTCAGGGAAAGAAAAAAAAATCGAAAAAGAATGTTCAAAAATAGCTGAAAAACCTAAAAAGGCCTAAAAATTACGTCGAAAAATCGTGGAAAATCCCTTCAAAATGATTTTCTAAATGAAAAATGACCAAGAAAAATTGAAAAAAACTCAGAAATCGACAATTTACACTTAAAGGTGGGGGGACATGAAAAAAATAATGTTCTCGAAATTCCGTTCAAAGATGCCCCTCGAGGAGTTGAACTTGTGAGGGCGATGATTGAGGGTGCGGCGCCGCTACCGACTGAGCCACGCGGGCAAAGAGAAAGCGCACACCCATTGCATACATAAAGGCGAGGACGACAGCTGTACGCAGAGTGACATTAAGCGTTGTACACCGTCACGGTACAATGCATACACTAGCTACAAAAAAACTACGAAAAATCTCCTGTCCCCCCACCTTTAAAAAATAGCTGGAAATCGATTTTCAGACTGTAAAAGCTGAATTTTCAACTTGAAAATGGATTAAACGGGTGTTTAACCTTTTAAATGTGGATTCTTAGTCATTTTTGACAAACTTCTGACCCGAAAAAATTATTTTTTTTCAATGTTTTGGGGCGGAACCCCCAGGTGTCGGTTTGTCCATCTGGACAATTTTTGGAGTTTTAAAAAAGTCGAAATGTCTAAAAATCATTGAAATCTATTTCCTTGAATTTTACATGATTGTAACAATGGAATTCTTTGGTAAAACGTGCATTGGAGCGCACTATACACAACTAGGCATTGCCATTCCAGCTCATTCAGGTTCAGCCAATCTAGTTAGACAGGTATGCCACGTGGCAACCTTTTTTCCAAAATCAATATGATCGGTGGGTGCAATCGGTCAGCTGGTCCCTCTCTATCTTCCTCTTCCTCGTTTTTCTTTGTCTTCCTAGAGACCCCCCTTGTCTTCTTATTCTTGTTATGATGACACTCTTCTTTTCAAGAGAAGAACGAGAACGTACGAACGGCTGAGAGAGAGAGTGAGAGAAAGGGAGATACGCAAGCAGACAGAGTGTCTGTTGGAATATTTTTTAGTGAACACTTCCCAAAAAAAAAGACTGACAAGATGTTCTTTTTTTGGGCTTTTTTCTTTGATTTTCTATGTTTTTTTTTTGGACTAGAATACCTTTTTTAATGGAAAATCAGTTTTTATACCACTATTCTAACAATTTTGGCTCTCTTTTCCTTATTTTTCTTTCAAAAATTCCGTTTTTTAACCAAACGAGAGAGTATGAGAAGCAGAGAAACGCAGACATGAAAAAATAAGATTTTTATACGAATTTTTATTTATTTCTTTGTTTTTTGTTTTACAAATTCATATTTTCTGCCTTTCTCTGCGCCTCTCTCTCTCTCTCATTTTTTTTCTTTTTTTTTTACTTTCCATCTTCAAAAAACGGAAATTACAGAATTTTGTACGATTCTTTGTGTTTTTACCCATATTTTATTCATGTTTTCAACATTTTTGACGAAAAAACACAAAAAATGGGCTATTTAGCTTGAAAACGACGAAAACCCGATTTAATGAGGCTTAGAAACTACAAACTACAAAGTTCTCTAAGCCTCAGTGAAATCCAAAATTGACTATTTCCAACTTCTTTGTTGTTTTCGGCTTAAAATGTTCTAATTTTTAGATTTTTGTAGCTTGTAGCCTTGGCCTCAGTAAAAAAAAGCATCACTTTTACTGAGGCTAATAGACTACAAACTATAAAAATTCATAAGCCTCAGTGAAACGTAAAAACGGTGTAAAAATCATCTCATTTCCGGCATTTTTAGGCTGTTTTCAGCTAGAAATACTGAAAATTTTAAGGCTTTTTTTCTCTAACAATACTGATGACTACAAACTACACAATTTCTCTAAGCCTCAGTAAATTTTGAGAAAGCTTATTTTCCGCCGCTTTTGATGGATTTTTGGCAAAATTTGCGAGTTGCAAAGAGATTTGAAGCCGAAAATCTTAAATTTTTCAAACAAAAAGAACATCTAAACTTTTCCGGGATTTTTTTTCCAATACTAAATTTAATCTTCAACCCCAAAAAACATTTTTATTTATTTTTTTCGTATTAGCTAGCAAAAAATAAGAGAAAAAATAGAGAAGAAACATGTATAAATGATTTATGATCGCCTAGTTTTTTTTTTAAATCTCTTTTCCCTTTTCTTCGAATTTTTTCTCCGAATCTAAATTTTTTGAAAAACGAAGAAACTTTGATTTTCATCGATTTTCGAGACTTTTTCAGCACATTTTTCTCTGAAAAATCGATTTTTTCTGAATTTTAAAGCGTAAAAATCAATTTTTGACCGGATTTTCTATGTAAAACTATCTGAAAATGAGACAATTTTGATTTAAAAACTAGACAAAGCGATTTTTGGCCTCCAATTTCAGAATTGAAGCCTATTTTCGCTGAATTTTCAAAAAAAATTTCTTCTATCGAAAAATCTCAAAAAAGTGGAAAATTTAAGAAAAAACCCCCTTTTTCTTCGAAAATTTTATTCGAAAACAAAAACGTTGGTTTTCGCTACGAATTGAAGCTTTTTTATGATAATTCTGGCTCATTTTTCGCTAAATTTTCAAAAAATCGACTCCAAAATAGTCTTTTTTGAAGAAAGTTTCTTCGTTATTCTCGCAAAAAACCAATTTTTTTGATTTTCAGGTCCTCCAACGTCTTTTGAATCCATCTTCTTCTTCTCTACATCAACACAACAAAATGCTGCCCCTTCTCCTTCTAATTTTCATTCTTTTCTTTGTGATTCTACTATTTTTCGCCGTTCGCTCCTATCCGATTCCTCTCCTACCCCAATCCCGTATTCTACTCCTAATTGCTCATCCTGACGACGAAACAATGTTCTTCTCACCGACGATTCGAGCGCTGACGAACGCTGGACACCGAGTTTTTATTCTTTCCGTTTCAAATGGCAATTTCGGTGGATTGGTGAGTTTTTTGGGTCAGGAAATCGTATTTTTAAACATGAAAACGAGATGAAAAGCGAAAAAGTTAGTTTTGATGAATTGATGAGTGAAAAAATGGCTTTTTTTCAAAGTCAGAATAGTCAAGCGCTAAAAATGATTTCGAAAGCTTTAAAACGGTGATTTTATGTTTTTCACTGAGACGAACAGACGACAAACTATACAATTTTCTAACCCTCACTAGTCAGTAGAAATGAAAATCGCTTTAATTGGGCTCAGTTTTAAGGGTTTTTTTAGCGAAATTCCTTTTTTTTTCAGTTTTTTTTCAATTCTGTTCCACAATCTGTAGATTAGACACGATTCTATCAAAAAACGAATTTTCTAGCTTAAAAATTAGCTGAAATAAGGCGATTTTAAGTTTCGCTGAGGCTTAGACTACAAACTACAAGTTTTGTTAGCCTCAGTAAAACTTGAGATCGCTATAAATCAATCTAACTATGGATCATTTTTGGATGAAATTCCTAAAAATTGTTGAATTATTGATTGAATAAAAACTTTCAGATTGTAGTTTGTAGTTTCTAACCCTCAGTAAAAAGATATCGAAAATTCCTGATTTATTTTTCTAGCCAAAAACGATCCCTTATGGTTCAAAACTAGGCGAGATATAGCGATTTTAAGGTTTAGTGGGGCTTTGAAAAATTTGTAGTTTGTAGTCACTTAGCCTCAGTAAAAAGCTAGCTCCTGCGTTTACTGAGACTTAGCGACTAAAAACTACACGACTTACTAAGCCTCAGTGAAATTTCTACCGACTTGCAGCGCCTTGAAATTTTACTGAGGCTTAGCAAATATTGTAGTTTGTAGTCTAAGCCTCAGTAAAAACTTCTAAGTGTCGTATCTTGGTCAATTTTTGCCTGTTTTTGATTATTTTTTGCTAGAAAAATTCAATACTTTTGTAACGTTTAGCTTAATGGATTTTCTGCGAAACTACAAACTACAAAAATTTCTAAGCCTCAGTAAAATTTTCAAAGCACTAAAACTCAGTTAGTTTTAATGCTTTTGAAGGGGTTTTTCCTGCAATTTCTGATAAACTACAAACTACGAAAATTCCTATTTTGATATTTTTCAGGGCGAAATTCGTGCTCGTGAGCTCTCTCGTGCCGCTTCTAAACTCGGAATCTCCTCGAGTGACGTCATCTGCCTAGACTATGATGAATTTCGGGATGGTGACACGTGGAACCGGAATGCTCTATGTCAAATTGTGATGCGCCACGTGGAAGTACTGTCGGCGGATACCGTAATCTCGTTCGATTCGTACGGTGTCTCTGGTCATCATAATCATTCGAGTTGTTTCGATGCACTTCAGGTACTGTAAGAGGCATTGCTCAGTATAAAAAAGGAGGGATTTCTGAATTTTTATGACCTCTAACAATCAAAAAATTGGATTTTAAAAATCGTTAATTTCGAGATCAAAAGTTGATTTTTTCTTCGATTTTTCTTTTTGCAAAATTTTTAGATCTTTTTAGGGTTTTCAGCTATTTTTGAAGATTCTTTTCCGATTTTTCAGGTATTTTTTGTCTGAAATTTGATGGAACGATGTTTTGGATTACTGTAGACTACTGTAGAAGCTAATTTCCATGTTATTTGTAGTTTGAAGCAATCACAATCCACTTTTAAAAGTAGATTCGCTTCCTACAGTAACCTACAGTAAATCCTGTCAAGACCATCATCCAGTCAAATTTCAGGCAGAAAAACTGAAAAAAATCGAAATCTTCGAAAATAGCTGAAAACCCCAAAAAGGTCTAAAAATTGTCGCCGAAAAAATCGAAGAAAATTTTGGAAAAATCCAGTTTTTAAGTTTTCAGTTTTGGCGGGAATTCAAACCCTAATTCTCAGATATAAAAAACAGGCTGAAAATTCAGCTTTGATCATTTTCAGCCGGTTTTAACGAAAAAATGGTCCAAAAAAGTTTGAGAAACAGCTCACAAATCCTCTAATGATTCTTCATTATTTCAGACAGCGTACAGTAACGGAGGCGTTCCACGAGACGTTCAAATCTTCGTTCTGGATTCAATTCCTCTGTGGAGAAAGTATATTGGAATGTGGGATGCCTTATTCTCATTCGGACGTTCTCCATTCTTCTACATGGCTCGTTTCCGGGATGTCGCCGCGTGTTGGAGAGCTATGTGGGCTCATCGATCGCAATTCGTCTGGTTTCGGGCGTTGTTCATCGTTTTTAGCAGGTAAAACAAGACATTTTAGTTAGTTTTTTCTTGAAAATTTTGAGAAAAATTTAATTTGGAGTTAAAAATTTCTGGAAAATGTATAAAAATGAAACATTAGCTGTCAAAAAACTTCAAAAAGGCTTTTTACTCGGCTTTAGCAGGAAAAATTGCTAAAGTTTGGTCTGAAATTTTCTGGAAAAATCTGAAAGTTTGAACAAAAAAAAATGTTTCACCTCAATTTTCTCAATATTAGAGCTTTTTTCTATGGAAAAATTCTCAAAAATCACTGAAATTTTGCTTGAAGATGCCTGAAATTCACAAATTCTATTGAAAAAGCTGGAAAATTGAAGTTTAGTCGAAGTGTGTGGGGGTGGAAATCTCAGAAAACTTTGTTTTTAGCGCATAAAAACCAAGAAATCTTGGGGAAATTCCTTGAAAGATGAATTTTTGGATTACATTTCAAAGGAAAATGTCTGAAAATATGGAAAAACCGTATTTTTTTCTGAGAAATATGCTAAAAACTCAAAATTCAGCTTTTCCGAATCTGCCCGATTTTTGAAACGTTTTGAAATGCTAAAAATCGAATTCCCCGCAAAATTTGGGTCCCTGGCGCCGAAAGCTAGAAGTTTCTAGCGTTATTTTGAAATGTTTGGATTTCTTCCGGGTTACGGTAGGTTGAAAAGTACGCAAACACCGATGAAACCCAGAATCCTTAGTTTTTGAGTTTCTATACCGAATTTTTGATTTGGAGATCATTTGCGATGTTAAAAACGCGTTAAAATGTCTCTGAAACTCAAAAACCCCGAATTTTTCGGGTTACGGTAGGTTGAAAAGGACGCAAACACCGATGGAGCCAGAAATCTCTAGTTTTAGGGTTTTTATGCTGAGAATTCGTATTTAAGCTCATTTGTAGCATCAAAATCGGAATAGATTATCTTTGAAACTCAAAAAAAACCGAAAAAAAAAACGGAAATTTTCGAAAATTAAAAAATCCCGAAAATCGAAAAAATCACACAAGGTCTGTACAAAAATGTTCAAAATTTCAGATTTCCTCAAAGATGCGGTCTAGAAACTCAAAAACTAGAGACTTCTGACTCCATCGGTGTTTGCGTACTTTTCAACCTACCGTAACCCGGAAAATTCGGTTTCTTGAGTGTCAGAGACGTTTTAACGCGTTTCCAACATCGCAAATGATCTGCAAATCAAAAATGCGTTCTAGAAACTCAAAAATTGAGGATTCTGGGTTCTATCGGTGTTTGCGTACTTTTCAACTTACCGTAACCCGGAAAAATCCTAAAAATTTCCCGCTTTCTCCTTTTTTTCCCTCAAATTCCTCAATTTTTGCAGATACGTGTACATGAATAGTCTTCGACGAATCTCGCCGCTTCCATTGACACCGTCGGCGCCGCGGAATTCGCAAAAATTCAAATTTCATTAGGATTCTTACTTTTAATTTTAGGTCCCATTTTGTTTCTGTTTTTGCTGAAAAGTTATATATTTTTAGTGTTTTTTTTTAGATTTCTAGAAGTTTCTTTGTTTTTAATATCTGAAAATTAGTATTTCTCTTCTCATCAAAAATCATCTCCATTGTTGTGCCTTTCAACTCTCCCCCACATTGTTTTTTTTTGTTGTTTTCAAGAAAATATATTTGAAAATTTCGATTTTTGAGAATTTCGAAATCTTAGAAATTACTTTTAAAATCAAAAATTTGTGTGAAAATGTTTAATTTACTTCTTGAATTTTCAGCGAAAAAATAGTTTAAAAAAACCAAAAAATTCTGAAAAATAGGTTTTCTGAAAGTTTTTTTAATTTAAAAAAAAATTTGAAAATTCCTTTTTTGAAGAAAATAATTCTTGAAATTTTTGACTTTTTTTGGGATTTAGTTTTCAAAATTTGGGAGTAAAATAGATCATATAGTAAAACCAATACATTTCACAAGATCCGGCAAAAAAAATCGATCCAACAGAATAACGAAAATAGAATTTTCTGGAAAAAATAAATTCCAAAAATGGGGAAATTTTAAAAAAATTATGAGAACAACGGGGAAAAGATGAGAAATTTTAGAAAAACTCAAGCGAAAATCAAGTTATCTGCGATCTCTATCTCTTCTAGAAGACGACGACGAAGAAGAAGATTCACGTCTTCTCTCCGAACTTCTGGATCTTCGTCGCTGTCGCTGTCGATGGTCTTCTGGAGACCTCGAACGACTTCTGGATCTCGAACGACGACGGTGATGCCGTTCGCGACTTCGGGACCGTTTTCGACTCTTTTTGCTCATCTTTTCCTCTCTTTTTGGGGATTCGATTTTTTTCGATTTCCAGATTTGTCTGAAAATTTCAAGATTATTTTTTTCAATTTTTATCGAAATTTGAGGTTTGGGAAGGTGATAAAAGGTGATAAACTGGGTGAAAAAAAATGAGAAAATGGGGTTTTTTCAAAAAAAAGTTCAAAAATAAAAAATAAAATAAAAATTTAGGCTCCGCCCACTTTGTTACCTTACCTCGCTGTGGCTGTTTTTCCTCACTAACAAGAATCACATCACCATCATTTGAAGGTGGAGAGGGAGATGAACAATGATCTGTCTTAACACTAAACTTTCGATGATTTGGGATACCCACGGGAGCCTTGAATTCTCCGCATTCCTGTGAAATTCCTCTACTGCTTGGCTCCGCCCCTTTTGATCCGCCTGCCACGTCATCTGATCGTCCAGGTGGCGGTCCTTGATTGTCGCTGTCATCATCACTGTCGTCTCCGTCGCCTGGAAATTTGATTTTTTGGATTTTTAAAAATTTCAAAAAATTCAGAATATTTGAATTTTTAGAATTTTTTTTTCAATTTTCTGGATTTTTGAAAATCTCAAAAAATTCCAAAAATCAGATGTTTTCGATTTTTTAAAGGGACTCCGACCAGAAATTTTTATCGCATTAAA